AGCATTGTTCATAGGGTTTGCACTGTAATACCAGCATTGTTCATAGGGTTTGCGCTGTAATACCAGCATTGTTCATAGGGTTTGCGCTGTAATACCAGCATTGTTCATAGGGTTTGCGCTGTAATACCAGCATTGTTCATAGGGTTTGCGCTGTAATACCAGCATTGTTCATAGGGTTTGCGCTGTAATATCAGCATTGTTATCTCCATCTCTTTCTCAGTACACCGCTCTTTTCTTCTCTGTCACACATTCTCTCCTCTGCCTGCCTGCCTGCATGCATGCATGCATGCATGCATGCATGCATGTATGTATGTATGTATGTCTACCAATATATCTGTCTCTCAGACTCTATTTCTCTCCCTAGTTATATCTTTCTCAGTACACACACATGTATAATTATGTGCTAATCTGTATTGTTCACTCTGCTTCTCCTGTGCTTACATTCCTACACAGTAAGCCGCCGTAGAATGGCCTGTGACGACGACGAGGATGGTGATGATTTCGATGATGATGACGGTAGGTTGCAGTAGTTGCAGCTGGTTTGTCTGTAGCTCGTCCGTCATTTCAACCCGTCCCTCATTTTAACCTGTTCTCGTTGTTCAATGGACGTGCTAGCACATTGTTTAGAACCAGGTCAGTCTCGTTGTCTAGGAGACGGCCAATCAGCGACGTTCCTGCCAAGGGCCCTGTCAGAGTTTGAAGCCCGTTCAATCATAATTTGACTTTTTTCCGGATCATGTACTCTGCAGAAAATGTACGGTGTACAACTAGAAGCTACGCATTTCAGAAACTTTTTCGGTGCCTCCCGTATGCTAGTACTTTGATCTGTACGACTTTCCTTTCTCCACAGCTAGCTGAGCTGCATAGAAACCCAAGATGTAGCTCGTTATAGGTACCGAAAAGGGGATCGCAAAGCCCCTTTTATACTGTAGCTACGTGAGCTATCAATAAGACTAGGGTTGCAAGGAATATTCGAATATTCGATTGATATTCATTTGGAGACGCGAGCACACTCTGCTCGAGTGTCGATCTACCGTAGTTGTTCTTGAACGGACGGAGGGATCTGCTGTACCAGTACATGTTTTCTTTGTTGAGAAAGGGAAATATGACTCACAAGAGTAGTGAACATGACTCCACTGTCTACACTCAAACGCCTCTTATCCGGACGCCTCAGATACGGGCACGTCTCTCTACCGGGCACCTTTAGCTTGAGTTCCTATGGCAAAAATGCTTCGAATTTGGGGGTTTTGAACTTTTTCCGTATTCGGAAGTGCTTATTTTTCACTGCCAACCTATGTAATCCACACATTTTACCAATGGGTTCCTTTTGTATCCTGAACATGTGCAATACGTTCCAAATAAACTTCTTCAAAAAGTGATATGATACATGGTAGATGAGTTATTCTGAGAAACGGGCAAATCTGAGATACGGGCAGTGCCCGGTCCCAAGGTGCCCGGATAAGAGACGTCCGAGTGTACTTTATCTACAGCGACCGGGGACTAGCCAAACTCTTTAAAAGGGAAGTATAGCCTAAAATCAAACTTTCACCAGTTGTAGTCTTCGGGATGCTGAGCCGAATGGTCTTGGTCTGAGGAAGCTGAGATGCTCCCTTCCTCCTTTATTCCCAATCAAACTCGCCACTTGCACCGAAACTAAGTGACTGTGCCCTACTAGATGGGGATTTGTATGCAAAATGTCACTAAAAGCACCATTTCGCTCTTATAAAAGCACGGATGACCGCGATTGGCCCGTATATTGTAGTCTTGTGGACGCTGAGTCGACTGGTTTTGGTCCAAGAAGGCTGCGATGCAGCGTTTGGCTCTTATTCCCGATCGAACATGGTTGAATAAGCGGTCACATGTTCATGCGTACACCAGTCACTGACTTTTTTCCGGATCATGTACTCTGCAGAAAATGTACGGTGTACAACTAGAAGCTACGCATTTCAGAAACTTTTTCGGTGCCTCCCGTATGCTAGTACTTTGATCTGTACGACTTTCCTTTCTCCACAGCTAGCTGAGCTGCATAGAAACCCAAGATGTAGCTCGTTATAGGTACCGAAAAGGGGATCGCAAAGCCCCTTTTATACTGTAGCTACGTGAGCTATCAATAAGACTAGGGTTGCAAGGAATATTCGAATATTCGATTGATATTCATTTGGAAACGCGAGCACACTCTGCTCGAGTGTCGATCTACCGTAGTTGTTCTTGAACGGACGGAGGGATCTGCTGTACCAGTACATGTTTTCTTTGTTGAGAAAGGGAAATATGACTCACAAGAGTAGTGAACATGACTCCACTGTCTACACTCAAACGCCTCTTATCCGGACGCCTCAGATACGGGCACGTCTCTCTACCGGGCACCTTTAGCTTGAGTTCCTATGGCAAAAATGCTTCGAATTTGGGGGTTTTGAACTTTTTCCGTATTCGGAAGTGCTTATTTTTCACTGCCAACCTATGTAATCCACACATTTTACCAATGGGTTCCTTTTGTATCCTGAACATGTGCAATACGTTCCAAATAAACTTCTTCAAAAAGTGATATGATACATGGTAGATGAGTTATTCTGAGAAACGGGCAAATCTGAGATACGGGCAGTGCCCGGTCCCAAGGTGCCCGGATAAGAGACGTCCGAGTGTACTTTATCTACAGCGACCGGGGACTAGCCAAACTCTTTAAAAGGGAAGTATAGCCTAAAATCAAACTTTCACCAGTTGTAGTCTTCGGGATGCTGAGCCGAATGGTCTTGGTCTGAGGAAGCTGAGATGCTCCCTTCCTCCTTTATTCCCAATCAAACTCGCCACTTGCACCGAAACTAAGTGACTGTGCCCTACTAGATGGGGATTTGTATGCAAAATGTCACTAAAAGCACCATTTCGCTCTTATAAAAGCACGGATGACCGCGATTGGCCCGTATATTGTAGTCTTGTGGACGCTGAGTCGACTGGTTTTGGTCCAAGAAGGCTGCGATGCAGCGTTTGGCTCTTATTCCCGATCGAACATGGTTGAATAAGCGGTCACATGTTCATGCGTACACCAGTCACCTCGTTACCGTGCCTGCAGGGTACAGCTTACAGCCTGTTTGGGCGCGTTTCAGTCACTCCAACCTTGGTGTGAAAGTTGTAGCCTGCAGGTGCGGTGACCAGGTGACTGGTGTACGCATGAGCACGTGACCGCTTATTCCACCATGCCCCACCTCGTCAATCATCATCACCCGCACTGCACCTGCACGCTCTGTTCTGCCTCAGGTCTCGCCCACAGATGCTACAACAGTCCCACGATTATTGTTACGATCACGTCACATGACGTCACTATTATACTGCTTGTGGATACATGCAAGCCTGCACATGCCAGGACTGATTGCTGAGCAGCCAGTTCTTGCTTTTTGCTCTCGAGTGTTCATACTTCACACTGTTTTACTTTAATGCCAGTAATCCCCCCCCCAGTATAGCTATGTGCATGTCTGATCTAAATATTACATGGCGCAGTGAACAGGATTCGAACCTGTGCGGGCTGACGAAAGCAGAAACATCGTTCAAAGGGACGTCGCTGCACAGTCTACAGCTCTGAGAGCACCAATGGGGCGGCATTTCTTTGCAGGCAGTACGATTTGCAAGTACAGAATCATCAGCAGCAGCAACAGCCTTGGCTGCTCAATGTGCCTTGCTTTAATCTAGACATGGGATGTCTAGACTATTCCCTATGCTTATTCTCTCAAATTTGTTGGGTTCCAAAAGCGCATTGTGGTTCTGGCGACACATTCAAAACGTTGAATCGCAACCGGTCGCAAAGTTGCATTGAATGGACTTTTGCTACGTGTGCTCGTGTGTGTGTTTGTATGTGCGTATGTACCTGCATGTGTACGTGTGTGCATGTTTGTATGTGTATTTGTCTTCTCGCTGTTCTGAATAGACTCAGATGATGATATGGGGTATGGTCTTTTCGACGGGGATTGTCTTCAGCCTGCGGTTGCGAAAACACGAGCAGCACAAGCACCAGCAGTACCGCCAGCACTACCACCACGACGAGCATGTTCAATGGCAGCAATGCCGATGGAAGTGTCCAAGAAGAAGAAGGCGGCACCATCATCAGGGGATTCGCGCTCCTCTCTTTTGGAATCGATAAAGAAAGGAAAACGTCTGCAGAAGGGTGAGCTAAGGCTGCTTGAAGCCGCATGTACTATTTTGTACTCCTTGTCGGTGCACTACTTGTATACCACGGGGGAGGAGTTGCTCCATGGGAGAGGGGTTTCTCCATGCGTTTAACGTTGCACCCAACCCCTCACACTATGAACTGCTCTTGACAATATGCCAGCGTTATGGCATGTCAGCATGGTAAACAGGCCAGGGCGGACAAGCACCGCTACGACTTGATAGCCTGATGACGTAGCACACGTGTGCTGGGGACCTGACGCTGGTGCCCTGGTGCTGCAAAAATACAATGGCAAATACGCAGCAGGGAAAGGTGATCCCCTGCACCGCGCCGGAAGAACACACAGTCTTGCACGCATTGTATCGCCATGAACAGATGCTAATGAGACTGCAGTAAAACCTGGTGTAAGCGACCTCTGGTTTTAGCTACCACCTGCTTTTAACGACCGTTTTTCCACGCAGGACAGTTGTACACAGAAACTGCACTGGATACAGCGACCACCTGCCTTGCGCGACCAGCGACTTCCCTTTAGTGTACCAAGTGCCGTATTGGACCTGCACACAGCGACCAAAACCAGCCAAAAGTGCCATCTTGACTGGCAGGGCTGACTTGAAGTGCGCTCTGAAGCAAGTGCATGCAGTCAACAGAAGTGACAGGTGACAGTGCAGGATGCCTGTATACACTTGAGTGAGGTGTTCTTTGCCTGCACGAAAGTATTCTATGCTCCACGCCTGTCAATACGAGTACAATGGAAGTACAACCATGCACATGTATGTACACGATCCGATATGCCACGGATGTATAGGACCTGGTTTTAAAGACCACCTGGCCTTAACGACCGCTTTTGCTTGCACGTGGGGTGGTCGCTTAAACCAGATTTTACTGTATTCGCAGTGCTGCCTAAGCGTCCGGTTCAATTCACTCTTTGTCCAAAAGCCGATCCGGAAATGATCTTTGTTCCGATTTCGAGAGAAAGGTTAGACACCCCAGGGATTGTATCTGGGATGACAGCTACACCGTAGCTCAGCGGTGAGAGCATCGCTGGCCTCAAGCCAATGTGCCTGGTTCGAGTCCTGGTGGTGTCAGTCATTTTTCTTCTTCAGACTTTTCCCGTTTGCATCTTTCCCTCAAACCAATGAAGATTGTATCATCGTATGTGTGTGTGTGGGTGCGTGCGTGCGTGCGTGTATGTGTATTGCAGAAAAAGGTTGAATACAGTCATAGGTCTGCATGCCATGTGTTTGCAGTCTCATCATGACATGCCGTGTGTGCAACCTCGCCCCATAACATAATATGTGGGTGCAATTTCACCCCGTAGCATATCGCGTGGAAGATTGACCATTGGCTGTTTGGAGAAGGTTTCCCAATTAATATTTGGGTGAAGATTATTTGGCAGCACTGTGTAACATGTAGCTATGTACGCTCGTGCCTCACTTATCCGGACGGTCCGGGACCGAGCACTGCCCGTAACTTTGAAATGTCCGTAACTCCGAATCACATACATGTACTAGTACATTTTGACGAGGAAATGCCGTAGATATGGCATATGACATCACTATTCAGGCGCGTACGCAGGGTCACCTCTAGGGGGATTTCCAACCGAATCCCAAACCGTGAATGAGTTTTAACCCTTTCTAAAAAAGCCCTAGGAAATTTTCAAAATTATGCATTTTTTTCGTGTTCTTTGGATCATAACTTCAGTTCCACTGTACTCACTCAATCTTCATTCTCTTGGGCTTTCTGGAAGTGGAAAGGTACCCGGGAGAGAATGAGGTCGACCATGATAGCCAGGACACAGTACAGTCATGTACATATCCAGCGCTATGCTATAGCGGTAGAGTGCAGCGACGGTGGGAAAAATGCCTCAAAGGCCCAAATGCGTCCTGCTCCCGCGATTTCGTTTTTCTTGATAGCAGAGTTTCGATTTTTTTGCTGTGTACTCTTGATAATATCAGAAGTGAAGCCACTGCAAATTTGAGCAAGTCAGCATGACGGAAAGTCTCAAATTCTCGATACTCAAATCGCACTGCGCGCTTTTGAAATTCCCGAGATCGCGGCTCAACTTACGAATGATTTATCCCAAGAGACATTGCTCGCAGCGCTTCGAAAATTGTTCCAACCGACAGCTGAGAATTTTCTATTCGATCTGGATTTTTGGATCGCTGAATTTGAGCGAGATTTGACTGAGTTACGGTCTGTTGAAGTTTTGCATTCTTGCCAGATCGATCGTGCACCCTACCAAAAAATGCCCAAAACGTTGCTCGTTTGGAACATTTGGGGGGTTTCCGGGCAACGGGAAACTCCCCCCTGCGTACGCGCCTGCTATTTCCACAAAACGTGACAGAAGGGTAGTAATATTACCACTGGAACCCGCCCAAGGGGTGCCCGGTAGACCGAAGTGCCCGTAACTTCGGGGTCCGGATAACCGAGGTATGAGTATACTTGATTGCATGCTCAACTATACCCACCATTGTACATGTAATGACTGACCAATGTGTTTTCTTGCTTCCATCGGTGTTCTCTGTTGTTCATTTCCTTTTCTTGCAGCAGCAGTAGAAGAGGATACACCAGCCGACTTTTACACCTTTCAGAACGTAAGCTTTTCTTCTCGATATGCACATGTGTTAGTGCATGCGTGTGCACGTGTGTGTGTGTGTGTGTGCGTGCGTGCGTGCGTGCGTGAGAGAGAGAGAGAGAGAGAGAGAGAGAGAGAGAGAGAGAGAGAGAGAGAGAGAGAGAGAGAGAGAGAGAGAGATTGCACTCCACAATTCCGGGCAGTTATGCAACGGCAGTAGGTTGTGATTGGTAGGCCTGTGAAACTCATGGCGATATTTTTTAACTTGCAACATGCTTATCGTACAGTGGGTACTTGCTCCCCATGTCGACGATCGGAGAGATGAGCGCTTGATGGCAGCAGGTGTTTGTTCCCTTCCTATGTGTTCTTGCTGTGCTTAGCAAAGCCAGGCGGCACAGCAACCTATAGCATTAACAGGAGCCAGGGATCTGAAGGCAACAAACAGCGGAAGTGGACGTGCCTCTCTTCTGTCTTCATTGAAATCGTCCATGCTCCGTAAAAAGAGTAAGCCCTGGCTTGATAGAATGGTTTTGTTTGCACAACTTAGAACGTTTAGAAGGCGTCGTGACATCAGTTAGTACATGTATTCTCCAAGAGAGTATGTGTACATGTGCATGCTCTGTGTCGTGTGTGTGTGTGTGTGTGTGTGCGTGCGTGCGTGCGTGCGTGCGTGCGTGCGTGTGTGTAGGGATTCACTGGCCAGAAAAAGCCACTTCATAGCTGTGTGGTGTAGACCAGGCTGAATAGTGGTGGTCAATTCTTCAGCCTTGCAAGCTGTTGAATGGTGCAATCCCAGCACAAGCTGCTATGGCTTCTGCCGTAGCATCACTATCAGAAGGATGCGATGGGCGTCCAATGGGCGTCCAATGGTGTGTGTGTGTGTGTGTGCGTGTGTGTGTGTGTGCGCGTGTGTGTGTGCACGCGCGCGCGCGCGTGCGTGCATGCGTGTGTGTGTATGTTGATTGCCAGCTACTGTACAGGCGGAAAATTTCGCCGGTCAATAATTTCGTCCAACTCCAAAGAAAGGGAGTTCGTCCGGCTGTAAATTTCGTCCATGGATCATAAGAGTGTATTGAAAACCTGGACAAATCGACATTCGTCCGGCATTTAATTTAGTCCAAAAGCTCCTTGGACGAAAAAGACGAAATTAAATTCCAGACGAATATTTCTGCTTATACAGTAGTTCGGTTGGTGGGTACACTTATGCCTGATTGTGTTGGGTCTGTTGCCACCAGGCTCGACTGCTTGAAGGTGTATTGTTGTACCTGCCACCTTTGTTGGTTCCAGGGTTCGTATACTTTTAATTTGAAGTATACATACCTGTTAACCAAGGACTGCTTCTGACTAGATTAACTCTTGTGTAGTCAATGGTGCTAGTGAAGCTTTTATCAGATCCACTCTGATTTAGCCACCCACACTAGTAGCAAGTATTACCTTCACTGGGGACAGGGGTAACTGCAGTTGGATCCCAGGACGGATACCCTGATGCCGTCAATCCTTTTTCTGTACCTTGTCCTCACCCTCTTACTGAGGTGTGGTGAACCCATAAGTGGGATCATTTTCAAGTCCACCCAGAGTGTTCGGGGATTTCAGGGGGTGTCGGCCGTCGGGCGGTTCAATAGCGAGTCATCTTTCCAAGATTCCTTTTGAGTCTCTCTCCCCTCTCCCGGGGAGACCCACGTGACCAGTTTTGGCAGTGAGCAACAAGTACAAGTGTGTGTGTGTGTATGTATGTGTCTGTCTGTCTGTTCGTTTGTCTGTCCGTCTGTCCGTCTGTCTGTCTCTCTATCTGTCTGTGTATGTGTCTGTGTATGTGGCTGTGTGTATGTGTCTGTGTCTGTGTATGTGTCTGTCTGCCTGTCTGTCTGCGTGCGTGTGTGTTAAACGTGGGAAGCCGGTGGCTAACTTGCGTCTTCCTATCACCATACCAAGGTTGATGCTGTTATCTAGCTTGGCAGCACGTGGCATGTGCTAGCACGTAGCATGTGTTTCCTGGCTTACTTGCTGCTAGAGAGTAGAGTGTACTGGATGGTCAGTGTCTTCTACGCTTAGAGAGTAGAGTGCACTGGATGGTCAGTATCTTCTACGCTTTGCCTGCGCTACTTCATCTTCACTCTCGTTCTCTGTTCATTTTGTTCTTGCAGTGGAGCTTCATTTGTACATACTGTATACGCAAGCAGACACACATGTTTACTTGTGTTTGTGTGTGTGTGTGTGTATGTTTACGTGTGGTGTGTGCGTGCGCGTGTGCGTGTGCGGGCTTGTGCGTGTGGCCGGATGTGCGGTCGTGTGGACGTGTACGTTCTTGTGTGTGGTCGTTGCACAGAGGATATTGAAGCGTCACCGCCAACTGGGTTCTTTGTGATGGATGAGAGTAATGTAAGTAGCAGCAGCAGCAGCAACAGTTTGTAAACCATTCGAGGAAGAAGAGAAAGCCATTAAAAAAAAGAAAAAAGAAAAAAAAGGTTATTGTACCATGCCAGACGGCTATTATTAAGTCATGTACCAATTGTAGTACATGACGTAGTAGTCACGCACCTACAAAATACTTTGCAGGATAATATTTAAATTGCCTAGCATGCCTACAAATCCGCAGAGCATGCCAATGTTAAATAGGCCAACATATGAATACCGAAGGCGGTTACATGGACAGAAGGCGACATCGGTCGAGAAAAGATGGGCCTATTCTCTTCCGCAAGTAAGACGCTCTGCAACCACGGAGGCACGTGATTGACCACCTCAGCAAAACAAATGCAATTTTGCAGCGTAGCTGTGCCATCACAACAGCGTACTGGAAGGTCACTATGCTTGTTAACCACCAGCTGAACAATGTTCTTCAATGCACAAGAGCACTCCGTACCACATACGCCGTTTGTCGAAAATACGAGCGGAGTGAATGACCCCCTCTCGACATCGACAACACGCTGAAGATAGGCCTGCTTCTTCTGATGTTCATTCCGGGAAATCTGTGCAAGGACTTCCTGTCGCGACAGCAAAGACGCCGAGGGGTGAGTAACCCTCACATCAAAGAATGCATCTTGCTGTGGCGACCAAAAGCCCCTTGCACGGATATCCAATCGAGCCTCTGCAGCACGATTAGCGGTAGCGCCGTGAAGTTGTTCACCATCCAACGGCAAAAGCGGTGGCTCTGTTTGAACATTCGGGATGGCAGAAGTCATCACCTCCACCAGCACATCACGAAGCTCATTATGTCGCAGACTTGGGTAGCCTCCTGTAGGGCATGTCAATGCATGGTCGACAGACATGTCTCTACCACACACACAAGTTGGTGGGAGGCCATCAATACCCCAGCCATAGCGCAGGGCGAGACCATCCCGGAAGCATGCTTTATTTAGCGCAAAGCCGTTCACAGCCAGAGGCTCAGCCGTTAGCCAACTAGACACGCCAGCATCAGCAGTAATCTCCAACAGCACTCGCTGACATGGGCTGAGCTCAGGACGCAAAGCAACCTGAGCCTCCTTAGCCGCAGTAGCCATTCTCCGACGTTCGGCATTTCGCAACGCCATTACCTCCGCCTGCAAATCAGCCGGAGCAATGTTAGCATCAGGGCGACGAAGCAAATCAATCACCGGCCGTGCCGAGGCCATACTGGAGGTCCACTGATGCACTGCATGAGGCCCAATGGCAGGAATTGAGAGACCACCGGACTTAACAGGCAAGCCGATGAGACTCCGCTCAACGGTGGACATGTTCTTCCGACCAGTGATTGCTGGTATCAAATTGTTGTCAATCACATTATCTAGCCTGCCAAAAGCATCCGGCTCCGGCAAGCCATGTGAGCACATATGGTAGCGCCAACGCGACCTCAATCCACGGGAGAAGACAGAATAAGCAGCATGTGGCTGGGTTTCCGCCAGAGTGGAGAGAGTACCGACCTCCCTGCACCATACGGAAACATGACGACACAGGCTCTCCTGTACGAATTCCTTCTCACCAATGGCCCCACCAAGATAGCGAACACCATTGGTCAGCACACGTATACCCGTAGGGTCGAACAGCAACAGCAACAGTAGCAGCACCATCATCAGCAGTAGCAGCAGCAACAGTTGCAGCAGCAGCAGTAGCAGCACCATCATCAGCAGTAGCAACAGCAACAGTAGCAGCAGCAGCAGTAGCAGCACCATCATCAGCAGTAGCAACAGCAGCAGTAGCAACAGCAGCAGTAGCAGCAACAGCAGCAGTAGCAACAGCAGCAGTAGCAGCAACAGCAGCAGTAGCAACAGCAGCAGTAGCAGCAACAGCAGCAGTAGCAACAGCAGCAGTAGCAGCAACAGCAGCAGTAGCAACAGCAGCAGTAGCAGCAACAGCAGCAGTAGCAACAGCAGCAGTAGCAGCACCATCATCAGCAGTAGCAACAGCAACAGTAGCAGCAGCAGTAGTAGCATCACACCGGCAAGTCATGACAGTGTTAGCCTGTCTTTGACCATCATCTTTGAAAGTAGTGACTTGCTGTGTGTCTTGCGCTGTAATTACGAAATGTACATGTCTCTTTCTCTCTCTGCACTCGTCCACACACGCATGTGTGCGCGCACACACACACGCACACACACACACACACACGCACGCACGCACGCACACACACACGCACACACACACACACTCTCTCTCTCTCTCTCTCTCTCTCACACACACACACACACACACACACACACACACACACACACACACACACACACATAATCATATACCACTGCTCTCTTTCGTGCTCCTTGTTTACAGGATGAATCGGAAGAGGAAAAAGAGGAGAAGCATGGACTGGCCAGTGTGCGAGTAGTGTCTCTCAGCGGCATCTTTGCACTACAGCAGACGGTACGGATTGTAGTGTGCTTCTACTACTAGGTGAACGGGCGGGTGGTTGAGTGGATGGCTGTGCATGTGGCAGGGGCGTAGGAGGGGTTTTGGAAGTGGTACGACCAAAGGTCGGTGCGGCCAAAGGCCGTGTTGGAGGGGGGGTCCGGGGGACCTCCCCCGTAAAATTTTTGTAAAAAAGACACAAAATCCTGCGTTCTGGGAACTTCTGGCACACTTCTGGCGCAGTGTACGTGTGCAGTCGAGTCGAGTACGTAGACTACTCAGTACGACTGCTGATGCATAACAGATCTACGAGTAGATCTACGAGTACGAGTCTAGAAAAAGGTCAAAGTCTGATGCGCATATGCATATCGATGGATCCTGATTTTTTTATTACGGTTTTGCACATTCCGGACGGACCACACTTTTCGAAAAGTGGTACGGCCATGGTCGTACCAGTCGTAGCGGGTGCTACGCCCCTGTGTGGGATATGTGTGGTTTGGGTAGATGCATGTCTGCATTCTTGCTTTTCATCTCTGATCTGGGCCAGTAATACCGGGGGACACAAGGACACACGTGATACCTGGTGCACAAGAACACATCCTGGGGAAATGAGTACCTTTATTTGGGAGAACCACAAACTGTGATACAGAATGTCAAAACCAAGCGAGATAAAATAATTGACTCGGATGGAGAGCCAAGGATAAATTTATAGTAAAGAAAAAAAGGACCAAGAAACTAAAAGTTACGCTATACTGTCCACTAACACCACCAGTTACTAAACAATCAGCTCATGCGATGACATTGCACAACACTGACCGACGGTACTGACGTTCTTTTTTTTCTTTACTATAGTTAAAAATAATTACCCAAGTCCAGTAAAAGAGCCGATATAAATTGTGCAATGCCGGGAAATGAGTCGGGGGGAAATGAGCTTGCCACGTGGCTGTCATATTTTAT